TTATTAATGACAAGCCAACAAAACCGACTAATTGCGAGCTTGACGGCAGTTCAAATACCTGGGCGGGATAAGCTATGCAATGTATTGGAGACGTCAAGTCGATAACTTTTAGGCATGATGGAGCGAGGAGTACTCGTGGAAACGTCACATAGAATAGTATCTCTTCCCATACCTAAGGGTTTCTCAGCTAATTGTAAAGCTGTTTTCGACAACTCATGTTTGAAGACGAGCCAGTTTCACAAGGTCTATGCCATCTATTTGGATGAGGAAATAAGTGCACGACAAAGCAATTGCCAGTGTTGTTCACTCCGGATATATAGCGAATATCCGATGTAAACTGTGAAACGTAATCCAGTCGTCGTGATTCCCTAGGTGAATACTTATCTGAAGTTGAGTTCAGAGAGTACGTCAGGGGTTTGTGGTTAGTGAAAATCGTGAATTCACGACCCTCCACTGAATGTTGAAAATGACGTACAGCACAGTACATAGCCAGATGTTCTCTGCCGAATGTGCTATACTTCGTTTCCGCCAACTGAAGGCACCTCGAGCAAAAGGCTAGTGGTTGCCAGTCTCTGTTAACTAAATGTTGTAGAACTGCGCCGATTGCAGTGTTTGATGCATCAACCGAGACACTTACCGATACCGTTGGATCCTGACACATTAGAGGTGTGGCATCCGCAATAGCTTTTCCAACCTGAGTAAGAGTATTTTGAGCAGACGCGTCGAGTTCGATGGACATGTTATTCCTTCGAGGAAGGTCTGTCAATGGCTGAATCGGAGAGGCACAGTTGGGAATAAACCGTCAATAATAACTTACCAAACCGTTAAAAGTGCGAAGACCTTTCACTGTCTGTGGCCCTGGAAAGTTCAGCATCACCTCAGCTTCACTAGCCAGTGGACGAATGCCCTTGCAATCAATAGTGTGACCCAGGAAGTCGAGTGAGTCAACGCCTATTTGACAATTTTGAATAGTGGTTACAGGATTTCATCATGAGCTGACATTGGTTTGAGAACCATTGGAAAACCTGGGAGTAGTGGACAACTGTTTCACCCTAGTTTAGGACTCTTCAGCAGTGCGCACCCACCGGGATTCGAACGTAGGACTTTCCGGTCACAAGACGAGCTTGTATACCATTAAGCCACTGGGACTCGATCCAATGGCCCATGAATTCTAACCTCTGCCAGTTCACGATATAACGCAACCGCTAGCCAATGTCTTCGGCGAGTATTTGTCCTCACAGCCAACCTGCTGCACCCTACTGGTCATGACTTTTGAATACTGGTGGCAACCTCACGTAGGCGTAACCTTTCAAATGCCAAGTCCAAGTGCCTAAGGTGAGTTTCTTTGTCTAGACTTGCAACGAGGCAGTTGCCAAAGTATGCGTGCGTATACAAACTTGAGACCGCGAAATACTTCGTCGATGAAGCGTTGGAATGTTTGTGCTGCATTCCGGAAACCAAACGGCATGAGTAAAAATTCAAAACGTCCGAAGGGCGTAATGATAGCTGTTTTCGGAATATCTTGTGGTACCATTGGGATTTGGTTGTACGCTTTAACCAAGTCGATTTTAGAGAATATAGCTGTGCCAGATAATGTTGCCATCAATTCGTGTATGTGAGGCAATGGATAGCAACCAGGGGTTGTTTTAGCATTCACTCGCCGCTAATCGCGAATGGGTCGCCAATCGTTGCTGTTCTTTTCCGGTACCATATGCAGTGGGGATGCCCATGGGCTATTCTATGGTCGAATGATGCCGAGGGTGAGCATATAGTCGAACTCAATACTAGCGATTCTCAGTTTGTCAGGAGCAAGTCGTTGTGCTTTAGATGTCACGGGCTGTCCTGAGGTTATGATGTGGTGCATAACATTGCTTGTTATGCACGGTAGGTCGTTGGAAGGGCGATTAAGCTCCGGATATTTATCGACAGTCGGTTGAAAATTTGGATCAAGGATTGCCTTCATCTTAATGAGTGAAAAGCTGGGGCCTATGTAGGTGATGCCTTTGATAGACAGACTAGTAGTATTGTCAATCAGTCGTTTTCGGCAGACGTCTACGAGTAAATCATGATGATTAAGTAGGTCTGTGCCAATGATGAGCATTGTGACGTCAGCGAGAAGGAAAATCCACCGAATAGGTCTGCGTAAACCTACGTTCAGATAGACGTATTTCATACCAAAGGTTGCGACTGGTTTTCCATTTGCAGCTTATAGGTTGAAGGTAGGTTACTTCTGTCGATCTGCTGTTGTGGCAGGAAGGACGCTGACTTCGGCGCCTGTGTCGACTAAGTATGGGGTCTGGCTGACCACATCATGAATGTAAATAGAACAGTAAGCGAAAGTGACCGCAATGTACACCTGTTACTGATACGCATAATATTCGCAAGATTTTAGGAAAGAAAAAGGGATGCTTTTAGTAGGACGTGTAGGACGTTACAATCTCTCCATATAACGTGGAAATAACTTTTCGAATTCCGGAATATCGTGGTCTATATTTGACTACTATATAATTATCGTTGATATTGGTTGCACCTCCGGTAGCTAAATATCCAAATTTATCACCTCCAGAATACTGTTTGGATCCAGTCAGATTCGTGTTAATAAAGAGCAATCTATTACAAAAGAACTATAGAGAAGTCCTTAGTTTTGTGGTTTATAACTGTCAGAGTTAACTCGTTTGATACTGGTCTATTTTTAGTTCGTACTTCATACATTCATACCTGTTTATTGTTGTTTTTCTCTACTTAGATAATATAACAGTATTTCACACACTTTTGTCAATTTTTGAGAAACTTTTATAATCTTTACCTCCATAATGGTCAAAGTTATCAAACGAGTTAGTACTGTTAAGAGACTAGCATCAAATAGTCAGCAGGTCACTAGAAACATTAGTCCTGACGATGAATTTGCACTAAGATCAATCGATACACCGAGAGTTATAGTACCAAACTTAATGGAAGAACTACTTGATAACGTAGCCCGTAACACTAGTGATCTAAAGATCCTTCAGAAATCCATAACAGACCTGCAGGATAAGTTTGAAAGTATCACTCCTTTCCTCCAACTTTGTGATCCATCACAAGAAATTTGCTTAGATTCACTCTTCAAATCTAAGCGCCTGTTAGACTTTTTGACTACAGAGGCTGTAAAGAGGGTCATGTCCTCATACAATATTTTAGGATATAATATACCAGACAATGTACCTATTATCAAACTTAAAGCAATCTGTCCACAGGCATGCAACATTTCAGTGTCTGACTGCCAGGTTCTGCGTCTTCGTAAGAAATCCGCAAACCACCCATGTCCTGTACTCTTCAAATTTAAGTCTGTTGACCTAGCTAAGAAATTTTTGGAGTCTGGCAAAACTCTTGGCTCCTCAACACCCTACACCAATATCAGGATTGTACCTGATTTAACTTCTTGCCAAAGACGTTGCCGCGCAGGTAAACTGAGTGAAGACAACCCCAATAAGACAACCGATGTTAATACTTCCCTCGTTGTATTGCCTGATGACCAAGAGCACCAGATAATATCGCATACACAAACTAACAGTAGTCAAGCAACTGTTGAAGACTTAGCTCTAAATACTGAAATTTCAGACATAGAAATGTCAACAGATCACAGTGTTGACGTGCATCCCTTGCACACTGGCACTAATGCCAAACCCTCGAAAAAGTCTAAGCTGAATTCAGTTGTACACTTTGAATCTCTCGGGAAGTCATATACCTCACAACCTCTTAGCCCGGCTACTGTGAAGCAGCAATCACATGTGGCCACCCAGGTAGGCGTAAATACAAGGCGATATGATAAACGTCCTATTTCCGTTAGGAACACCAAAAGAACTGTTGAGACCATTCAACAGAAATCCAGTTTATTAGGAAATCCTACTAATCACCAGCAGCCCAAATTACACAAGCCGACTAATACGGATAAAGCTAAACCAAACGTTAGACCCGGAACACTAAAGCCCATAAGTAGGAAAGTTTCAAATGGGTCACTGGCTCATTCTACTGATAGACAATCATCTAAACTTAGTCATGTTCCTGAAGTTAGACGTAATTCACATACCGTAGGAGCTGAATCATTTCCGACTTCCACTACCAGTCCTATGATAAGAAAAAACAATCGTCACATATCTCACCAAACACTTCGAAAACACGAAGTTGCTCAACCCCTCACGAATGCACCCTCAACCATGATTTACAGGAAACATCAGTTTGAGAATACAGACGTTAGTCCAAAAACACGTATAGTGCCCTGTCATAATTCTCATGCATTCAGTAGGGGTCACACGCCGATTTCAGCACAACGCTCATCATGGCCTAGGAAGTACTCTAACCAGACACAGGGATCTAAGTCATATGCACACAACAACACGCCGATCACACACTTCGGTTGTAACTATGCAGACTACACGACACTAGCCAACCCATATGACCAAAATTTTCTCCAGCGACAACTGGCAGAAACGCCTGGGATCATGCACATAGCACGCATGATATCAGACCAATTCCTTACTGGTATAGCGAACACCTTACAACAGGGAAACTGCTTCTTCCCCGACAGATAGCAAACACCTTATAAACACCTAATACCAATAGTAATACCTTAGATTATCATACTAGTATCTCCCATAGCACGCAATATCTAAACGACCAACTGCTCACGAGTGACATTTCACAACCCATCCCTAACTATCAAATTAAAGAAAACGTCTCTAGTGATCAAAATGTTGTAATTAATGAATCCAATAACGACTGCACATATTTAGTTGATAACCATAGAGTTTTTTATTATGATATCGCCCATACACTAAAACCACTTCGTCAAAGTCTATCCGTCATCCTCATAAATGCTAGATCAGTTCTTAACAAACATTTAGCATTATGTACGTTAGCCTCTATATGCAATCCGTCGCTGATCATGATCACTGAAGCCTGATGCTCAAGTGATATTGTGGATGGTAGCTTATCAATTGATAAGTACAATCTTTTTCGAGGGGATAGGGAAACAGGTCGTGGGGGTGGAACACTCATATACGTTAAACAACCCATTTGTGCAACGCATTTTAGTCACCCTATTCTGTCACAACTTAATGATTCGGTGTGGGTCGAAATAAAAGTTCTCAGAAGTAAACCTATCCTTATAGGGTGCGTATACCGACCGCCATCATCCAACCGCGAATACGATAACGTACTCAGCAACATATTTAGTGTTGCATCCAATCTTCCCTTCAGTTATAATATAATTGGAGGTGACTTCAATTTGCCTGATATATCATGGCGTACACTTCGTGGACCCTCGAGGTATGATAATCTTCTTAATTCCATCATTACTGGAGGATGGACGCAACACATAAATGTACCCACTAGGTCCAATAACATTCTTGATCTTATATTTACGATCAACGTAGCACCATCTACAATTCATGTGGGACATGAATTCCCAGGTAGCGATCATAAAATAGTTGCATGTTCGTTTAATATTTCTCCAGAAACTATACACAGAAACGAAGTTAGTCGGACACCTATAAGACTATACACGCAGGTTGATTGGGACTTGTATCAGGACTTGATTAGATACTCTAATTGGGATTCCTACTTTACCAATGACTCCTTAGAGGAAGTCCTTGAAAACTTCTATGACAATATACAGTCGATTAATGATGTCATAGCGCCTGTGAAACTGATTAAATTCAAAATCCCTCAAGGTGATTTTATTCCAATATCATTAAGAAGAAGTTTGCGGAAGCATTCATTAAGTTACTACAGACATGACGACTTATCGTCGTTAATCGCTATCAAAACAATCCTCATTAGAATCCATGAGTTAAAAAATCTAAGTCTTAGGAATAAAGAAACGCGGGCAATTCAGTCGCCACATAACACTGGAGAAATAGCCAAACTCTTCAAAAGTAGGTTAACTAACTCCAAATCAACATATCCAAAAATAATACACCTTGGCGGCATTACTCACGAAAGTGCTGAGGATATATGTGAGGTGTTTAGCACGCACTTTGCCAAACTGTACACTCTAGAAAATGACCAGGATATAGATTTCCCTCGTAAAACAGAAAAGTGTCTAAGCGATGTAGTCTTAAACGCCCAAGAAATCGATAAAGCTATCACAACTCTTAAGCTTACTAATACTCCCGGCCCAGATGGAATGTCTTCCGTCCTCTTAAAAAATGGTGGAAATGACATGAATCTACTTCTTCTCAAGAAATTTTCAACTTCGATAAGGAGTGGAACATATCCAAATATCTGGAAGAAATCCTACGTTGTACCCAAACACAAAACCGGACCTACAGCGGACATAGATAATTACCGCCCCATCAACATTACTTCCGTAGTTTCACGTGTGATGGTGCGTCGGTGGCACAGTGGTTAGGACTCCCGCCGACCATGCACATGGTCCGGGGTTCGAGCCCACGCCGACGCACACCTGATATCTATGGTTGGCCTGCAAAATTTGGGCTACCGATATCCATGCTGAAAATTCCATACTTCTACCAAAAATACAGTGTGGAATCAAGCTGTAAATCAAAAATCAATCAAAAAAAAAGATTGTAAAGAAGCAAATTGTTCAGTATTTGCTCTCGAATGACTTAATATCCCCTTTCCAATACAGTTTCCTAAATAGAAGATCGTGCATTACTTGCCAGTTAGATTATTTAGACCACGTTACTGAATGTGTAGACAAAGGTCGTTCGGCAGCAACATTATTTCTAGATGTTAGGAAAGCTTTTGATAAAGTCCCACATAACAGACTCATACTGAAACTCCTATCTTATGGAATAAGTGGAAGGCTTCTTGAGTGGATAACTTCCTTTCTTACAGGAAGAGAACAGTTAGTTAAAGTCAACCATCACTTATCAACATCCAAACCGATAACCAGCGGCGTGATACAAGGTAGTGTTCTTGGCCCTACCCTATTCATTGTATTCATAAATGATATTGTCTCTATGATCAAGTATGGCAAGCCATACCTCTTTGCAGATGACCTCAAAGTTGTCTATGATTTCGACTATAATGATATGAATATTGTTAGTAAAATCCAAGAAGACCTAAATAGTCTATGTAATTGGAGTGAAAAGTGGCAGTTAACGTTCAATCCAGCTAAATCTGGGATAACATACTTCGGACGTTGGAAACCTAGCATGTGTCTATACATGTACGGTGACCTTGTCTCAAACACGAACACAGTCACAGATCTCGGGGTAACATACTCAGATCTTACCTTTACTGAGCATGCAAATAAGGTGGTATCTGATTGTAAACGTCTAACCGGCTTTGTGCTACGCAACTTTTACACTCCAGAAGCCAGATTAGCCATATATAAAATATGCATTCGCCCCAAACTTGAATACTGTGCCCACTTATACAGTAGCTTTAAATCAGCGGACAGAAAAAAAGTTGAAAGTGTCCAAAGATTCCTCACGAAACGCATATTAGGCTATGGTCAGCAAATAGAATACCTTGACAGATGTATTCGACTGGACTTAGAGCCCTTATGGTTAAGGAGAGTGAAGTACAATTTATTTCTCTTATTCAAAGTTATAAGAAAGCACTGCAACAGTAACTCGTCCATAACCTGGGCTAATCCTAAACCGTATGGACTACGCAACCATAACCACCTTCTCAAGGTTAACACCCATAAACTCACCACTAGAGCTAACTTCTTCACCATTAAATATTGCAAACTTTGGAACCAACTACCCTCTGAGATTAGATCCTGTGAAAGGCCTGACAGTTTCAAAAGGAGCCTAGAAAAACATATTAACATGTCCACCCTAGCCCGCCTCAAAGATCTCAACTGCTGGTAGAGTGGTGAGATTCATATAAGAAATATATTAACAATCAACAGTAAGTATATAAACAATACAGAGATAGAAATTGTCAACCACCACAAGTATTTTCCGTATTTTAGGCATGAGTGATGAGTGATTTCTATTGCACGTCTTGGTGTTGTAGACTCGATGATCAAGGACTTAGTAAGTTACCTCCATCTTCACCTACCTACCTATATTACTTCTCAGAATTTTAACCCTCTCCAACTATGCTATTTTGTGATTGTGTGCTAATACACGCAGTTTAATATGGCGCTGAGCTATTTTTTCTAAATTACTTATCTTCGTGGGGTCAGCCACTCTAACATTAGCTAAATTCTTATGTTCCGACAATCTGACTATCCCCGACCTACTAGTTTCACCTATGTAGGTAGTCGACCTAACTCACAGTCATTGTAGGGTATTTTTTAAATTGCATTATTTTGTCTAATCGGGTCAACCTGCAGGCTCCCTTAACCTACCTACACAGCCTGTCCCTGAGTGAGTTTGTAGGATTAAATACCACCAGCCTAATTCCTGCTTCACTAGGAATCCTACATTAGGGTCTCAGATGTCCCCTCCTAATATGGTAGAACTGTGGACGCCTTATATTCTCTCTTGTTTATGTTAGTTGTCTCTATCAGTTTCGCCATGATTTATATTTTGCTTTTGACCTCTTTTGATATTCCTGATGAATTTTATAGGATAGTTAGTTATTTGACACCCGCGCTTCTTCTATCTATTTTATTTCATCATTTGAGTTTTTTATGTAGTACTAAGTGCCACTGCTCGGTTAGTTAGACACTTGACTAAGCCTGCCTTCACAGACAGATAACGGATGAGATTAATTGAATTCTGAATATATATTAGCACACGTTGGTATTTTACAAACGCTAATATGCAGTCGTGTATGCGTACTTTGATATGATTATGAGTGGCAAGAATAGATTGTGCTCGAAACGTTGTCATCAGTAAATATTACTGTATAATAAACACTGAGAATTTATCAAAATAAATTTTACTCACACTGGAAGGAGAAATGTCAAACATTATTGAAACTCTCAAGACGAAAACTAACTACCCAAAGAACTCCACTTAACAAAATCAACACCAACCATATTAAATATGGTCGAAAACACATATTCCGAAGAAATGCACCTCAGGTATTGTCATTCCATATACATCAGGAACGTCAGACGATAGATTTCAGAAGAGTACCTTCTCACCAAAAGCACAACATCGGACATTTATCCAGCTTTTTAGTACTGTTGTAAATCGGCACTCGATGCTGCGAAAAGAGGTCTCACTTTCCCATCGGAGTGGTGATAATAGATAAACCACAATCTGTATGAGTGCCAGTTATGGGACTCGATAATTTTGATGATTGATTGACTTTATGATAATTATAACCCAATGATGATGGTCACATTGCTCAGCGTTTCAGATGAACGCTACTCATAAACATCGTAACAAATTTCACCCCAACCATAATCCTATCTTAAGCCTTCGCCGACACTAATCTTGAATCAGGGAGAAACTTGCAGCTAATAGGATAACGAAAAGTAAATCTTGTGTAATGCTGAGCAATCTGATTGACCGGTCCAAGGGCATTTGACTATGGTAAGTACTCTTTACTGCTACTCATCCACCCACCCACCCCCCTATTACTTCAAACAAAAACTCAGGGATGTCGTGTCTATCAACTATTCACATAGGAAGATAAGCATGAAAGTAGCGTATGAGAAATACACAAACAGAGAAAACAGACTGAAAATGTCGGGTTTAAAAAAAGATTTATTTAGCGTTATTTCATCGAATGCTTCTTTAGACAAAGGATTTGAACTTATCTCTTTTAAGTTAGGCGTCCAATTACACCCGTTACGATGATTATTCCAATCTTTATAGAGTCAAATAGATAAAAGAAACCAAAATACCACAACATGAACAGAAATCACCAATAGAAAAGACCAAGATAAGCTTTGAACACCAGTACTGTACAGATAACGACGCAGAGACATAATTCGATAATGAAGAAGACATGAAGTACATTAAGTCAGACGTGTTGTGATGAATAGGAGGAAATTAGGTGACCCACTGACCTAAGCTATACGTCAATTTTAAGAACATTGTTTTCGGTAGCTGGATGCAATCATGAAATACATGAGAGAGCAGTCAGTGTGACTTCATCAAAATATATTTAAGTTGAATAATTGGTTTGGTTATATTAAGAATAGAATTCCACGAAGTAGATGAATACGTAATCGTATCACATGTCATTTCAACGAATAGGGAGATAACTCACAACAAACGTAGGAGTCATATGAACTGTTGATTTTATAACAGGTGTCTATTTTAAAAGGATTCAATTGGGCCTTATATGCTAAACAATAAAGACTTGAATAAATGTGAGTGCTCATCACTAAGATATTTCCCAGTTCGCTATTGGATATTTTATTCAATCTGACCATGTAATCTGAGTTGTACTCATTAGAAAATTATAAGTAGGTTAGCAGTTTAGAATGAGTCATTTTTTCCAAATTCGTCACTGGAGGTGGTGATTTTATTCTGTCTGTATTGCGTGTCGTTTTGAATTGCGATTCTGATGTACATTTTGGAGGAAATTATTAAAAAGGTGGACTTAATTGAAAACAGATTTCAGATGAGGTAGGTGAATCTAATGTGATATTTCCCTAATCAATTCATTTACATAGAAACGACTGACTCAGTTCACTTGGATCGCTTCTACGTTTTGTGAATTAGTCGGGAAGAACGCGAACTCAATTGTTGCATGTACAATTGTTTTACTTATGTCGTTGGAGTAAACAGCTCTGTTGCATACTTGAGTGTTTTAAAGTGGTATCACCGGGTTCACGTAGGTAACATTTCAGTGTGTGCGTGTTATTTGTGAGTGCGCTAGTTATTCAAATAGATGTGGGCATTCCGCTTCTCTACGCTATTTAGTATTTTTAAATGCGTTATTCTATCAACTCGTATTCGTTCCCTGGGTTTATGGTTAAGCATTATTTTGTACTTCTTTGAACAGTAGCAGTCACAGTGTTGTATCCCATTGTGTTTTGACACCGTGTGTTGTCACGCTATGCGTGTCAAGATTGTTTAAAATGCACCCATTCACTGACTCACTCCCTTTTAGACATTTGAATTTCTCTTCGGTATTCAGTCCTAAGCTCAACGTCTCGAAAGTCGAAACATTGTTGATCAGTTTACGGAGTCACAAGACACAAGTCATATCAGGTTGACCAATTTAGGATTATTTACTCGCACTTCAGTTCATGTTGTCTTAGGACAGGAAGTGATGGGTGTGGGATTCCAGTGCAACTGAGAAAACAGTGACTCACTGAAACACAGATATATTCATTTGAGCACTTCGAAGTAGGAGGAAGCTTCTCTGTGTGTGTGTGTGTGTGGTGTGGATTTGAATGTTCGCCACTACATATGGTGTATTAGGAATTCGAGATGCAATGTGTGATTAAGTCTTGAGTGATTTTCGTCCATATCCCAACACAGGCTTATGAGTTCGATGGGGTTAAATCAAATAGGGAAGATCACATGTCAGAATAAACTGAGGTTCGCTGTTCATAACGAGAGTATTTACTGTTGTTGTGGTTGTTCAAGAGCTGATATGTTCACTGAGTTGGATTTGTTGAAGGCATCAGAGTGACTGAAAATGTGTATTATTTTCAATGGTGTGGTTCAAGGATGTGCCGGCGAATAGTTCTAACGTGTAGGTTATTTGAGTGAGCACGTTTCATCACGCTGACTGATAGTAATTCAGTAGAGTGAAATTAAGCACCTTCCGTGTTGACTTTGTAGTGACGTTTCAGCTAATAGTGAGTGAGCTAAGTTATCGAGGTATCCACTCGGTCTCTGATAATATAACATATTCAGAGTGTAAGTAACTGACAATCCACTGGTCTCTAGCGACGACAAAAACAGTCAGTCGGGTCGTGAAAGAATGTGAATGGATTGTGGTCAGGTATAAGGAGGAGTATTTAGTGATCTCGTCAGTAGGGCAACTAAGAGAGGAGGAAGGATTTATAGCCAGATGCATTAAACAGCATCACTAAAAGTTAATTCAATAAACGTGTCACTGGTGTTTTCTAGTTGACGGAGCTAGCCTAATTCATTTGTGAAGAAAATTGACTACAACACGTACAGGTTGATAACTGATTCAGTGTTTATCACTCTGGCGGTAGACCACATGACTCCTGTAAGATCAGCGACGATTGTTGCTCACCAATATATTCTGGATACCCGATTTCACAGACATTCACATCACTCAGAATCGAATAATCGGCGAAGTGTCACTTTTCAACCAATTCATTATCAAGCTGTACGCTCCTAAATGAACGATGGGGCCACGTTTAACTCGAAGCACCAGGAACTACCAACAGAGTGTGGCTGCATCGATGACTTTGAATGGATTAAAGAGATTCCCCATTCCATGAGCTGACGTTTCCATTCCGCTTAATTCGAGTGAAATAACGCCTGTTCTAGGAAAGTTATATCTGAAATTCAGTGAAGACCAAGTTTTCCTGTATTACTTAGATGGCAGAGGTTGACTGAAAAAGAACTCATTTGTTCATCTCAAGGTATTATCGGTATAGTACACAAAGGTTTAGTAGGTCAATTGATGGACATGTCCATGGTTGTGGAATTTGTTTGAGACGAGTTAGTGGCAGGGAAGATGCGCCGATGATTCTTCTAATTATTTCGTGGGGACATCTTTTTGCTAGATGCCATCTATGGTTAACCCAAATTTTGGATATTTGTGATTACTGGGTTTTTGAAAAGGCTGTGATGGGTGCGGCTGCTGAAACCCAAAGCAGTCTCGTATCCACATTTCAGTGGTCCTATAACAGTAGAATACGAGAGACCTGGTAAAGTGGTGTTTATTTGCGATTCGGTATCTCTATATAGCGAAATTATGCACACCTTATGTTCAATGCACCATTTGCACAGATCTCCCGTATTGTGCCTGCTACTTCTGTCCTTCCTTCTTATTGTGTTTCTTTGTTTCCCTCTCATGTCGCACATATATCTCCACTACATTGTATCATTTGCTGTCACTGATATCGAATCAATCTGCATGCTTTTTGGTGTTTTTATGCCAACCGATGAGGATATAAGTGTTAACCAGTATAAATTAAGCGCTGACGAACTTCTGAGCCAACTCAGATTAGTACTCGTCAAAAGAAAACTTGAAATACGGTTAATTAACCTTGTGGGGGTTCTGCGATAATATATGTAATTTCCTATATCAACTATGCATATATACAGAGCGTCTATATTTTCTCCTGTTCTCTGCGGCTTTTGTCATCTGTCCCCACGATTGCCTTTAGTCTATCATCTTCTCCACATCACTTTTGAATACATGCCCAACTCATCGTTTCCTGTTTGGGTCCCAAATGAGCGATGGCGGGTCTCAGTTTGTGCCCTATCCATCTCAATTTCCTACTACACACTTGTTGAACAATAAGCTCTTGGTCAGTTGGATGCCAGCCAGCCAGCCAGAGTTTCTGGTTACTAATTCTTTCTGGAAGGCTATTTGACCTTCACTATGGAGTCAGCGAGAGCAGTTATTGATAAAAGTCTGAAGCTGAGTGTTGGAAAAGCTTTACTTGATGAACTGGCCAAGTTCCTGACCCGCATAGAGGGACTGACTGACTTCACATTTGTGTTGAAAATGCGAATCTTGTTGTTTGTGCCAAGTTGGAGTGCTGCAGACTTCCAAACTGGTTTCAGATGGTTGAGGGTGCACTTTGCCGTTTGAATTCTGGCTGGCCTTAATATCTTCATCCACCCCCCTCCCTATGGTTGAAACTGTGATTCTTAGATAAGTGAAGAAAGGAAGGAAGTGACCTCTTTCAAATTTCTCCTGTAGATAGTGATTGGTGCTGGTTATTGTTGTTGTTGCGGTCCGCTGGTTATCTTCATCACCTCCGTCTTCTCTATGTTCACCTGGCTGCTTCTGCAGCCAGTTTGTTGTTTTCCGTCTGTAGGTATTCGAAGTTGTGTGACATTAAACATGAGTCCCCGCGAAATCCGGATCTTCTATAGTCTTATTATTGGTCAAGTGTATCACTGTCTTCCCGTCTCTATGCACAGTCTGGCGCAAAATACAGCCTCCCACAATTAAGAATATCATCAGTGATAGTATGCAAACAACCTTGTCTTACTTCTGTATTCACTTCGAAGGCCTCGCCGAGTTTTCCGTTGTGTATCAGCCAACTTTCTCCATTATCATACAACTGTTGATTGAGGTTGATAAAGATTTGGGCACTGCACGCCATAATGTTGAAGTAGTTTCCAAATTATTTCATGGTCAACACTGTCTGTCGAAGGCCTTCACAAAGTCGATAAAATTGAGGTAGAGACTTGATTTCCATTCTATGCTTTGTGTCGATGATGATGCATAGAGTAGCAATTTGATTAGCACATGATTCGCCTTTCTTGAATTCAGCTTGTTCCAGTGGGGCTGGCGGAGTTCTGTATTCAGTGCATCTTTCATTCTCTTCAGAATGACGCGACTTAATATTTTACTTGGCGTGGACAAGAGCCAGTTTTTGTATAAGAGCAAGTTGCCCTTGTTTAGTAGTTTGACAAGATAGCTGGTCTTTCTCCCAATCCACAGGTACCTTTCTTTCCCTCCAAACCAGTTGTAATAATGGCGGGATCACATCTACCACAGTCTCTATGTCTGTTTTCAGTGCTTTGGGGAGAATCCCATCTGGCCCTGTTGCGTTCCCGGACTTCTGTAGCTCTATAGCATTCAAGATTTCCGCTTCTGTTGGAGGACTTGTGTCCAGTGGCAGGCAGTTCTATCAGTTCTGTTGATGGTATTTGTGGACTAGGTGAACCTAGTATTGGTCACCTTAAGTCAACCCAACTTTGAAGTGATAAGCCTATTGTTATGTTTGTCCCTACTCCTTGGTAATTAGATTCCCTTGACCATACTCTATAGGTTTCATCTGCGTTGATCTTTTCTTGGATGGGGACATGGTTATGTGGTATAATTTCCTGAGTTGTGTTTTACCTGAGGCCTGCTTGTTTCGCTTCAGTGGTCAGTGTGTCGTAGAGTTGTGTTCTGTTTCTCCTAGCATTCATCACTTGTTTATTCAGTGTAGTGTACTTTGAACTTAGCTTCTTCCCCTGTTGTCCATCTCTGAATTGGTTCATCCTCTCTTTCTCTGTCCTATTGTCTTTTATTACATTTCAGGTAGGTGTCTGTTGAGAGCTATTCCTTATCCTGTCACTTCTATCTGCTTAGAAGGGTTGTACACGTTTCCTCACACATTACTTTCAGAAAGTTCAATTGTTCTTCTATACAGGTTTCCTCAGTGATACTACTTGGTGTCTTCGACTTTGCTCTGATCAGATTTGTAGTGAAAGTATCCCTTATAGTTTTGTTCTTTAGCTTTTCGAGTGTTGAACTTGAATTACAATGGCTTGTCTCCAGTCGGTTTGAAGGAATTCATCTTCTCATAGAAGGTTCGTTGAACTAGATGATGTTTTGAGCCCCATCTGTTCCCCTTCTTCACTTTGTGTCTAGCAGGCTAAGTCTCAATTCCTTGAGATTGAGATGGAATCTATTTGGTTCGTGGTGTGTTTTTCAGCCAAAATCCATGTTGCTTCATGTATAAACTTGTGTTTGTACACTCTGCCTGCGATCACCAAATCAGTGAAGGCGCAGAAATCTGCAAACAGTCCTCTATTCTCATTCATGTTCCTAAGAGCCTCTTGACCCGCGATGATTTGTCTCCTTATATTGTCTGCTCGCAGTTTAGCATTTATGTCGCTCTTAAACAATGTTCGTCAGCATCTTATCTGAGGATTGATCTTAGGTCTCATGACAAATAATTTTTGTAGGGAAAACTTCGTACATTGTGGAATAGATCAAATTAATTATAGTTATATTTCAGAAGTTTACTAACAAACAGAAAACTCATCATAACCCGCGAACTACCGAAATAAAACTATAATTAATTTGCTAATGACAAATACTTTACAGCTCGGTCACAAAATATTTATAAACGAAAAGTGTATATTTTGTGTTCGTGAAATCATTGGGAGTGATAGGTCATATGTATATAATCAGTGGGCTTTATCGCTGAAGTACTGTGATAGTGATTCGAAATGACTAAAGCTTATTAGTACTGTTAGGTGATGAGATGACTTGTCAGAAAGGCTTTAATTCTTAAGTGAATCAGTAGAGATATCTCACCATAACATGATAGGTATAGAGAAGTGAAACTTCCATTTTGAGATGAAACTTCTAATGAGTATTAATTTCAGTATTGTTTTTCATTTGTTATTTTGTGAAAATTTGAATTTGCCTGTGCCTGATTCAGCCACTTCAAACATACTCTTTCTCAGTACAGAAATTTCGGCTCCAGTAGGAACCCCATTATCTATTATAATGTGGATATTAACAGTTGACGAGTCAAAAATAAGATGAATTACGTGATTTGACTTTGAATGACCATCATTTCATTAAAGTGACTGAGATAAATTAGCTCACTGTTGTTGAGGCTGCTTTGAGATTCGTTTAGACTTAGATACTGATTGGTACTGACTTTGTGGAAGATGAGTGAAGAAGAAAAGGAAAATTAGTTAGCAGGAAGTTTAACATTATTGATCTTCAGATTCTTGAATTGGAGAAGTATCCACTAAACCACGGAATCAAGATGTTACGAATGTCTCTCTTTAATTTCCTTGAGAAAATATAACACCTCATAAGTTCTGTCTTAATGATATGGAATCACCATTTTGTAGTTAAGATTACTTGGATTTGTTGAGTAGATGCTAGAGATTAACTGAAATGCTTGAATACTGGGGAATGATGTTACTTGGTAATGCACATGAAATAGTTTTCAAGATATCATATTTTAATAATTATGAAAAAAGATAGCTTCTACCGCATATAAAGCTTAATGTAACCGTATGCAGTTCATTTACTATTGTAAGTGTGATTCCAAAGCACGCTGACAGATAAATACATATTATAAAATCATTTCATCGCTAACATTTCAGTAGTGTAAGCGTTTATCGTTAGAATTTCTCCAATGGTATCAGACTGATTCGTACCAGTTATTTTCATAAATTCCCATAGCTTCAGTTTCATACAAGTTGATCAAATGTTATACGAGCATAACAGAAAATATATTTTATTGTAGACTTCGTTAAAAGTGGACATCATTTGGAGAGGCATTGGAAACTAGACAGCACAACGTTTACATTGAGACTAACCGAGCTGCTACAAACTGAACATATGAAAAAACAAACTGACTTAAGCAAATTTCTACTGTAGTCTGAGAAGCAGTTCCTTCTTCAAATAAGATGTGGCCATCTCATGTCTTCATAATTAGTTTTGATGTCATTGGCTGACTAACTTCCTCGCGGCTTTCACAAGTCTATGTCAAATCGTCTCCTTGATTCCAGTGGCGAATTTTATTTTTTATTTTTATTCTCGTCTGTGAAGTTCCTGAGGTTATTGGACTGATGTTCCTGGTTAAGGTCGCCAGCCTTACTCCCATCAGTCTATTTCCGAGTTTAGGATCGGCCAGTAAACTTACTCTATGTTTCACTCTGAACCTAAGGGAATGAAAACAAAATGGATTTCAAGATTTCCATGATAAGTGAAACATATATCCTGCAGTTACATATGCATATTAATTTAATGATGGTTTGGTGAATATAAACCACATTTAGAATTATCGTAATCACGAATCATTAAACCAGATAGTAATAAAAACTGTTTTCCGAGAATAATGTTTAAATCAAGATGCCTTTGAAATTCAGTTCAAAGTCAATAAAATCTAGGGTGGTATTAAATAGACTATAACTGACTCGATACCGTAAAGTTAGCTCAAACCGGTCATTTTTAACTCTGAGTTAACTAGATATAACCATGTACACACTACTGACTGATTGAAGTGAGTGGCTGTATACCCTTCACACCAATCATCAGTAGTGTTTGCTAGCCACATAAAGATGATCTAAACATCAAAGGGCTGTTACACCACCTGCTTGAGTCAGAGTTTAATACCGGTGTACCCAATTCGGCTCAGCTCAGAGAGCCGAATTAATTCAGACCACTCGACTTCTATCTAGCTACTTCGGTGAACAGGTAATACTGTAAAATCAAATTTTTGATTCGCAAATTAATCTGCAATTTACACAGTCTGGGGTGAAATTTCATCGAATCTTTCTCTAGAAACCAAAATTATTCAGATCAGAAGCATGCTCCTCTACTGGTTGGTGTGAGTGGAATACAACTGCTCACCTCACTCAGTCAGTAGTATGTTGTTTTGTGCAAATATGCTTGCTTCCTTGACTACCAAATTGACCACATAGTGGGATCTGAATAATTTTGATTTCTAAAAGAAACTGGTGGAATTTCATCTCGAAATGTGTAAATTGCAAATTGGATTTATAAACACGTAGACCTTGATTTAATAATAATTAATAATAATAACTTCATTCTGCACGATAAGCTTACAAAATATGCGAAATTTTCAGAGTAGTTTATTCCATATTATTTTCCCTTTATCCAGGAGTTTCAAGTAAAACAGTCACCTACAGCACATCATGTGACTCATTGCCTTAGATATCAGGTGTGCGTCGGCAGGGGATCGAACCTCGGACCATGTGCATGGTCGGCGAGAGTCCTAATCACTGTAAAACCGATTATCATAATTATATTATTATAATCATATTTTAATAGTTTAAACACAGTGACAGGTTTTTGTTTTTGGCAATATTTAGAGCAAAGTTACTACCCTTGATCAAACCAAATGTTGGGATTGTTTAGTTTTTAGTTCCTTCTTTTTGTGCTGAGCTTTTAGTTCTTTCTGTCTGTAATGCCATGATGGGTATTTTCCACAATTTAAAATAAAAAAGTTTAAATTATGCATTCATGAGAAGCACACGTAACCACTAATACTAAACTGGCTTACCTTCGAATCAAGACCTTCTCAAGTTGAAAACATTTCTTTCGCGGAGTATATCTAAAACACGCAGTGACTGTGAAAAAAGTACCAGAGGATTCATGAATTTCGGTAAAACCCGTCAGCTAAATAATCTACAGACATTTTTATTTATACAAATTTTCTAAGGTTAAATACATGCAAACACGGGAACATTGTGATAACAAGGAACTCTCATGGGAAAAAAGTTTGGCTTATGTCATTCATACAAGGATAAACATGTCTGATCTGAACTCACAAGATAGTTTGCACATTCCGCCCCAAGATTTTAACACAACTATAGCTTTCAATTTGCACAAATCCTGAGGAAACTAATAATGATAATAACAATAATAATAATAACTAAAAAGCCATCGCAAAGAGAAGGGTAATGGGAAGGAAAATTGTAAAGGTAAAATAAAGCTACGCAACCAAAGTAGATTTAAGGTAACTCCTGTGTCCTTTTGTATACGGAGATCCGGAATTGTAGAGTATTCGACTGACAAGTTCTACCGAAATATATGAATTCAATAAATGCTGCTTTTTCACAGTTGTCACTTGTTTTAAACTTTCTCAAGTGTCGTACATATGAAGCCAGTTAATTTGCGATTTCGCCACTATGCGCCTATGTATTGTTCACCTAATTTCCCTCAAGTTATTTTGTCCATTTTGTATCGTATTTTTATCATTTTTGATTACAGTTTAATCGGAACTAGTGTCCTTCCTAATGTCATTTATTATTTAAGTCCACCTTTATAAACACAGGAAATTAAATACGAAATCCAAAGAGAGGTGACCGCTAGCCAAATTGGTAGACAGTAATTTATATCAATGTTTGCGTCCCCAATATTGGTCGTGAGAAGAATAAGAACAAAGACTGATTCACCAACCAGCCACAGCAGACTTTACATAGGCGGATACAGTTAGCAGACAGATGATCTGACATTCAAGAAACAGTCACAAAGAGATGCAAGGTTAACTTTCTGTGAGAAACAACCAATCAGAAGACTGTGTTTTTCTGCTAACAATAATCTAAAATAATGCACATGAAAATCTATAAATACGCGTTGATTTGCTTAATAAACGATCTGTTGCCTGTTCCTTGTCTTGTGTTATTACAATATAGCATCTGATTATTAATAATTCTCTGCGGCAATTTTATTTGACTTTTAATTATTCATAGATTGATGCACATGAATTTTATAAGATGATATATTTGCGAAACATATTTCGAACAATCATTTACGGAATTGTCATAGGAATTTATATGAAACTGATAAAGAGTTAAGAAGTGAAAAAACAGACTTGGGTCAAGTTGAAAGGGCATATTGCAAGTTGAAATAACAATGAAGATCACTAAACCAAATAAGAGAGGTAATAGTACATCTACCCTGGTATCAAAACAAAGTCCACCAAGGAAGACTCTATGCTATGAAGAATTGTTTTAGAACGCGTTAAGGTGGTTTAAACTTCCTGATTGCCAGCTAGGGATTCCACAGACTTTAGGATACGCCCCAAACACGATCTGTAGATACGTTTAAAAGATGTGTAAGCATGGATTTTATGTCATGTCTCTGTAATATGTTTTGAAGCCATTTAAGAATATGCTCTGAAGCCCTTACTTGCAGAGACCGATGAGTCCTCCCTGTGTAAGTGTGGCTGCCAGCTTGTTTACGAGTCTTTTGAATAATTTAGTATGCTTCTTCTTTGTTTTTCTCTCGATAACTAGGGCGACATTTAGTATAAAAGGGATTCTTAGATCTATAGACAGCTCATTAGCTGGATATTGCCTGCCAGCGATGTTTACTTCAGTCTCTTTTATATTTGCGGACAAAGGGTTTATTTCATTTAATACGCATCGTTTCACCGTCTTCTTATTGGGATGAATTTCGCTTTGAGGCAACGACCTGTAATATGATTTAAGATAATGATATGGCGCAATAAAATTATTGGTGAAATTCAAAGTAGCCTTGCTTCATAGAGTTTAGCTTTATGCTTCAAGAACTAGTGAAGAACGGTCAACGCTGCAGACTGCTCACAACATTTTAGTTGCCTCAGTGTGCCTACTTAATTATTTAGTCATTGTATTAGGTAAAAACTGAATACATCGGTATATAATGAAATTATGTGTCTTCATTCAATTTTACTTCGCAAATTTAACAATGAATAGTGCGTAACATAGAATGGCGAATGTTTATAGACAATAAGTTTGCTTAATTTATTTATAAGTAGAGCGATAATATAGGCAAAAGGTTAAACAAGTGTCCACTTATGATACTAGTATTTTTGTCTGAGAAATTCTCACTTTAAATCAAAATCAAGTAAAGTATGAACCAGTCTACCAGATATCAGCACTGGTTTGGCAACTCCTGTCTGTCCGGAAACTTCAAGCAAATGAGCTTTAATAAGTTTTACACAAAAAAGTGTTGTCAAGTTTGAAGCTCCTGAAATAATATCGAAACACAGCTCTTCACTTCGCGATCTGCTGTAAACAAAAACTTCACGGATTCCTGTTTCGTAAATTACACATAAAGCGATTGACACACCACTTGCTCAACAGAATTTATTTAGGATAACTTTTTCCAAGCCACTGAAATCCTAGTTAGCTTTTTCGATTACAGCTTGACTCCACACCGTATTTTTTTGTACAGGTATGGAATTTTCACCATGTGATATCGGTAGCCCGAATTTCGCAGGCCGACCATAGATATCAGGTGTGCGCCAACAGGGGATCGAACCCCGGACCATGTACATGTTCGGCGAGAGTCCTAACCACGGTGCCACCGACGCATGTAAAACTGGTGAATTATGCAGTTTGTGATAAGTTTCACGAAGGTTTTTTTCAAAAACCCGAAATATTCATACTGTTCACCGTAGTAAGGCTGTACAGATATTACTAGCGAATATCACATATGTTGGGAACCATAATATGTATTATTATCATGGCTTCCTAGAAGATGCTTCTCACAGTCTAACACCAGCTGAGAGTACATCACGACAGTGAATATTTTGCAGACTTGAGTGATAGAATTTAATTGAAACTAGGGACTAGACACAAGACAGCGGCTCTTCCTCAATTAGTAACCTGCACATACCTCACAGATATGCATAAATAATATGAAACACCTACCTAGTTGTTAATAAAAATATTTTGGAACTGGCAATACTGTGCAAATCGAGCAAATTGCAACTGACTGATTACTAATTCACTTTGACATAGAGAAAATCAACTGCTACATCAGAGAACAGAAATAAAGAGGAATAAGAAAGATATGAATTCATGCTCTTAACTGTCGGTTGAGATTGTTATCACAGGGTATTAGATATAAAAAATTAATTGATAATATACTAATGAGAGGAACAGCTATCCCGTATTTACATCATCAATACTGGTTAAAGTGAATAATTTCCAACTACTTATACCAATGAGCAGTAAATACTACTTACATAGATTGGACACGAGTAACTAGTGTGTTTTTTCTAGCCCTTTCTTTGGTGCAGACTGAATTCTATCAGTCAGGTCTG